GAGTTGTTCCTTGACCGCGTCTAATCCAAAGATTTCAAATTCAGCCTTCACGCACCCTCAGGACTCGCGTACGCACATGTCAAAGTTTAAACTGGCATCATGTCAACTCCAAATTTAAGGTGATCAATAAGCTACAGAGAGCTGCAATTTTGCAGCTTCACTTGTTGCTCATTGCTGTGTCCGTGAAAGTAAATTACTTATCAGCTCTTCTGCATCTCACGTGCGAACACATGTACACACGTGAAATTTGACGTTACTCTGCAACCAGAGCAGCTGGAGTACTGAAACTTTCTGAGCGGTACCCAGGACCATGTTTGAGCAACTGCGGGCGAAGAAGCCATTCACGTGACCACTCACGTACGGACACGTGGAATTTGACGTAACTCTACAGCCAGGGCAGCTAGAGTGCTGGGACTTTCTGAGCGCTACCCAGGACCGTGTTTGAGCAATTGCGGGCAAAGGAAACATTTACGTAGCCACTCACGTACGGATACGTAAAATTTGACATAACTGTGCAACCGAAGCATCCAGAGCACTGGATCTTTTGGGTATGGATTGGGAGTCATTGTAATAATTTCTGATAGCTGTAGTGGCCAGTCCCAATCCTTTTAGCTAGAAGCATCTGCCAGGAAGAACGTGCCACTGGCGAAAAAACCTGTGAGGGGAACTGTGCAAAAAACGCATTGCAAAAAACGCAGCCGGTTCGCTTTCTACTAGATTACAAAGGATTTGGATCGGGGGGATCGGACTCCTCAACTTTACTGTTTCCGGATTCTTCTAATCGTGACGTGTTAACCATTATGTTACCGGTCTCTGTGTTCCAAATTTAGCACTTGAAGTTTGTGAACCTCCATATAAGGCACGTGCCGGTGCTGTCACTTGATTTTCTAGATTTCGTTAATTTTTCATATATATTTGCAGCAGTTTTCCGAATTTTTTTATGCTGTGACGGGAAAGAAGCGGAGTAGGAAGTTTTGTATCAAAATTTGTACTTCAGAATTACCTGATGGATTTTGCATGCGCTTTTTTGTTTTGTACTCTGCTTCTATTTAGAATAAGTTTTGTTATTACAAACTGTTTTGCAGATCTCTCTATCCTCCGATGGATGTGTACGATTACTACACGTCACGGTTATCAATTGCTTGCAATGAGATTTTATCACGAATCCGAGATCACAGCTATGGGCTGGATGCATATTTCCTGGAATCGGTTATCGATCGAATATTCAATGATCCGCAGATCGACCTGCTGTCGGTGCTGCCGCGACCAGTTTCTGATGTGGGAGTGGAATACGATCAAGTAGTCGAAGTGGTCGGCACGAAATCAGTTGCTTTCAAGGTTCCTTTACAGTCCTCTCATTGGCTGTATTCTCGGGACTAGTAGCCACGAAATTTTTGCCGTGTCAAGTAAATGTATAAATGTAATATAAGCAAACTGTAGCAACCAGGTTGATCTTGAAAGCCTAAATGGCAAAGCGCGATACAGAGAAAGAAGGCAAGAGTTAGATAAGAAGTTTCGGTCCTTTAAGTCATATACGTCTTAACTCAACACCGTGACAGGAATTCGTCATTATGACTTG